ATTGAGTCATGACACAATTATTTTTGAGGATTTTGGGAATTGAGTCAACAGCAAAATAATTTATACCACATGTATAATATGCAGCATATAGTTAATCAATGACGTGACTCACTGAAATAGGTCCACAGTCTGTCGCCATTACTTGGAATTGAACCTGTAACACTAGTACTGATGTACTAGTGATTTATCAATATGCTATAGCCCTACTGGACTCTTTTCAAAATAAGTAATTGTTAAAATAATTTATTACTATATTAAAATACAGTAGACATTATAAATATCTGGAATTTGATCTAGCATATTTAAAGTTATGTTACGCATCATTTTATAAAACAACAACCTATATAACATAAATTTTAATTAAAGTAAGAATATATTTATATGACTTGTATTTAAAAAAAAATTTTTTTATAGCTATTAAAAAAAATTGATGTAAATGTTATCTTTATCAAAACCTAAAATGCAAAGAACAGTCATAAGTTAGCTTTGGACAGATAATATTTGAAAACCTGCAGAAATAATTCATATAACATGTTACCTAAAGTCCACAGTATATGATATAATTAATCAAATTAAAAAAAGATCTTTTGTTATACTACTTCTTATACCTGGAAGACCCCCAATTCTCACACTCCACAACTTCATCACCTTGGTCGGATCGTGCAGACCAATAAAGCTGCTACTGCAGCTGAAATGGTTGAAAGACTTGTCCTCAAAAATTCATACCTGAAGGTTTCTGTTCATACTGTTCAACATACATTAAAACAAGCTTTTCAATTTGTCATTTGTTATCTAGTTGCTGTTTATCTTTTTTAGTCTCACCATGTCACCACTTGTCTTGAATGGGCTCAAGATCATGTTGACCATGATTGGCACCACACAATTTTTTCTGATAAAATGACCTTTCAGATATTTAGAAATACACAGTTAGTAAGATATCATTGTGGGGAGTCGTGACCACACCGAAGTATGGTGAAACATCTTTACAAAGTTCATACTTGGGGTGCATTTTTGGCACAAGGCCCAATTACACTAATTTTATTCACAGAAAATTTTAATTCTATTAAATATCAAGAAATTCTTGAAACTCATTTTTTTCCTCAATTTTCTAGATTAGCTTGCCAGATTTTATTTTCAACAGAATAATTCTTCTGTTCATAATTCAAAAAAAACACATTGTCTCCTCGAAGACCAAGGCATCTGAATTCTCGATTGGCCTACCTATTCACCTAACTTAAACCCAATTAAGAATTTATAGGCAATACTTAAGGGCAAGGTCAAAAAAGAATCAAACTTATGTCTAATAAAAAAAAAATCTTTCGAATAATATTTTTCAGCAAATTATCCATCAGGTGTGAGACAAATTAGATAAAGACCTATTTCTTACATTAGCGATGTGTATAGAAAATTATGTTTTAAAGGTGATTGATCGAGAGGGGGGAAGCTAGATAATTAAAAGAATTTTTTTTAATTAGTAATCATATTTGACTATGTATATATGAAGTTTCAATAATAATTAATAAAAAAAAAAATTTTTTTTATTTACCATAAAAAATTCAGGATATTTATGACATCTAATATAAGATCTTTCTGAAAACTTGCAGAAAGAGACATCAGATATCACAGGGAAACAATTATTAAACTATTTTACTGAAAGCAGATATCTTATACATCTTATAACTTTTGGCAATCATTGTATCACTATTCAAATGATTATTATGTTATAACACCTTTTCTAAAGATCACAATCTTAATATCTATTAAATTAGTATATGAAATGGCTTTATATAAGAAATAGTATATAACAAATTATAATATCAGATACTATATAGGTTTTATTTAATCACTTTTACCTGGAATTGAACCAGTATCTTATAATCAAGTATTAACTATTATACTATAGACCTATAGGTCTAATTTTATATCTTTTTAAATAAGCAATTAGTATTTAAATAAATAAGTAATTAGTATTTAAATAAATATAAATTTTGAAATTGAAAAAAAAAACTTTTATCTATTCACCACTGATTTTCTTTCAAGAAGCACTTTTCTTTCTTTACTCTTCTAATACAACTAAGCTTTAAACAAAAGACATAAAGACTCAAGGAATATTGTTACAGTGGGATAGAATCTCTGATCAAGACCTAAGTAAGTTGAGAGTCTTTCTTAGCTCTTGGTTATATGGAAAAAGGCCCATGGCATTTTCCTTTATAATTTTTGTTTTTAAAAACCTTTTCTTCAATATGACCATTATAATTGCTTCCCTCTTTTTTCTTTTTTCCTTTATATTACAAATACATTTTTGACTATACATTCAAATAAAGTTACTGGATCTAATATTTGTCTTAACATAATCTTTACAAATTTTCTTTATTTATTATTTTTTTTTTCTTATCAAAAACAACAATATGCATTATTTTCTTATCCTATCACAATTTCAAAAAAAAAAACACTCTTATATTTAATTCTTTCCTATCAAAAAATCAACATATAACCAACAACTAATCAAATTTCTTCACTTTTTTAACAACAAAACCAAACCTGTTCAAACACATTTTCAATTAGTTTTTTAACAAAATACTTATATACTAACAATAATAATAATAACAATAACAACAATAATAATCACAATTAATTGACAACATACTGGATTGGGAGAGTGCATAACTGTGTTCTATGCGGGTTCCAATAATCTTCAACTAAACAAGTATCAAAATAACACAATCTACAAATTACACAACTTTCTACAATTATCGTTAACAATAAAGTTGCAATCCACAAGCAGCAATACTATTATTAAAGAAAAAAGTCAGCCTAAGCCTAATCAATATGAATGAAAGTAAAGTACTTTTATTATGAGTGGAAATGAAATACCAGGGAATTGTGCCCTATAATTTGACAATCTAAGCCAGTGCTCCTCTACTGCTACTAGAGTTGCACCTTATAATCTGGTAGTCTAAGTCAGTATTTCTCTACTACTATTGAAGTTGTGCCCAGCTATTGAAAAGAAAATGGTAATCTAGATAGACATATTTGATTTGTACCCTGCAAAAGGGATTGTTAATACAAAAGATAATTGCATTTAAAACCTATTACTTATTATCATCACTTTAATAATTCTCATCCTTAATTCCTTAACATATGTGGCTTTCAGAAAGTAATTAATCCTAACTTCAATTAATATATATAGTAACATTATGTTAAAAATTGTCAACTTTCAACTTTCAATACTTTTATACTTTTTCACTCACACTATGATGACCTTGTCTTTCAAATTTTATATATTTACTACAATAGGTGATAGACTAATATGTACATAGTTTTATTTTGTCCATATATCTTATATCTTAAAAATTAACCATGTAATAATAATAATTACATATTAATAAAGATCATGAGACATGTCTTATCTTAATAGTAAAAAAAAATTTTTTTGAAATTGAATAATCAAACAAATTTTAATTATAGATTTGTTCAATTTAAAAATAATTTTAAATAACTTTTTATTGTTTTTTCTATCTTATAGTAAATAACAAAAAAGTTATTTTCTTAAGGTTTTACTCTTTCAAAAATATAGAATTATAATGCTTTGTAAATTATTAGTTAAATAAATATTATTATTCTTGTAGTTTTTTAAAAACCAGTAATAAGCTATACAGTAAAAAGTTTTTAAATGTATTCTTATATCTTGTATAAAGCTTAAGTTAAAAGACTAGATATATTTAATATTGATATCTGAAACTTGAGTTTGCATATATGCAGTATATTAATTTACTAAAAAATATAACCAATTATCTAAAAAAATAAAAATAATATAGGTATACAATAAATATATAAGAATGTTGTGAATTTAAATTGGTTTTTAAGTTTTTCTTCTAAAACCAAATGGATTTTTCTATTAACTAATATATAATAAATACAAATTAGTTCTAAAGCTTGTATTTAATAGATATTGCATATTTAAAAAGTTAATCATTTAAAGAATATATGAATTTATATAAAATAAATTTTGATAAAATTATATTTCATTTTTTAACTCAAATAATATCATGACTCCTTGATTAAAGAGGTGCTCGGGCACCCAAATAAAAAATGGTTTTTCGTAACAATTAACATGTTCAAATCTGATTTACGGTTGATCGATTATACAAATGCAGAGTTGTTATTATATTATTAAATTTTACAATTTTGAAATCTGCATGTTCATTTAGACCCTATCTAGCAATTTAACTTGTTCAGATAATGGAATTCTATTATTTTATATCCTCCTTTACATTGTTAACTCAGCTTGTTTGTCATCCATTCAAGCATAGGAGCTATTAAGAGGTGCAATCGATCTAAGATTTTGAAGATTTGGACTTGGAAACTTTAACTTTTTTCTTTGGCACTTCGTCTTCTTCGGAAGATCCGATTCCTGCATAGTTCTCATCGTATTCCTCCGCTACATCACTATCAGAATCTTCATCCACGAAATCTTCATCAACTATAATAGTTAATCAATAGAAGTTTAGGACTAATAATAACTTTGTCAGGAACAAATCAAGATAGTAACATTTACCAGTTTCGGAATCCTCATCATCGTCTCGCTTTGGATCCCGTTTCAAATCGTCATCAGAATCGCCACCAAAGTATTCACTATAGACGTCAAGAACCTGTTGACCCTAATTAAAAGTAAAAAAAGATGAATATTCAATGTTCATATTATTTTTGCGTTGCCAATCATACTTTTTCTTCGGTGTCATTTTCTGTTCTTATGTTCTTGCTGTGGAAGTAAGCATCCAGATGATCGAATTCTTCTCTGAAAGATAAACAGTTAAACAATTAATTATTAAATTAGCATCAATAATTGGATTAGTGATTCCAATACCTATTTATACTAGAAAATTGATATTCCAGACTACTCTTCATGCAGAACTTTACGTCAAAAGTTCTAGATGTCGTAAGTGCGCCTTTTCCAGAGTTACCTGTCATTGATACTCTAAATGAGAGATCGGAAATACGTTAGGAATGTTTGTATCGAATTTGCGCCGTCACAAAAGAAGTACAAGACCAATGGGATACCTGGAGAAGACAACTTTATCAATGTCACCATTTTTTATGAGTGTTGGCGGTTTCGGAATAAAAAGGAAACATTTTTCAAGTGGATATAAATATCCCTCATTAGCTTTCAGGGAGCATTTGACTGCTACCTCGTCGTGTTGACTACGTTTAGTTCATGAAAAAAAATTTTTTTTTTTTAAACAAAATAGTTCCATAATAATTGGTTAGAAAACAAATTATATTATGTTTTACCTTGAGAAACTTGATGGTCGGATGATTTTCTTTTTGGCCAATACATGAAATACATTACTGAAGACCTCATATACTGGTGCCTCATATTGAGGCTCAAGTTTCCCACCGTACTCTTTCTGGACGGTCTCGCTGTATTATACCCATGGAAATTAATTGGTTAGTTATCAGCAACTAATTTAGCATTAAGAAAATGCATTCAAAGATATATTATGATATACGATACAAACTCGTCAAGATTTAATTGGATTTCTTTTTCTTCTTCTTTTTTAAACTGGAGTACTAAAAAGTGATAAAGTGTTTGACCTTGTCTTAACGGAGGGTCCAGGCCAATCTGGTTTTAATATGAAAAGATTCTTTAAAATTCGAAATTCAAAAAATTGTCGTGGATAACATGAAAAACACTTACAACAAACATTTCGTGAAGGTCGTCAAGTTTCGGTAGTAAAAATAAGTTCCCGACACTTGTTTGCTGAATTTTGTAATCATATGTTTTACCGCGAAGTCGGAAGAAAGTAGGAAATATTTCAATATCGTACCGACCACTGAAAATATCAAATGACTCGTTATGAATGCGAGATTAAGTAAAAACTCATAATCTTGAATCAAATTTTTACCGCGGTGTAAGTAAGAGCACATCTTGAAATAGTACAATCCCTTCTCCGGAGACCTGAGTGAGATCTGCTTTTTCTTTTACTGTCTCGTAAAACAACTGAAGTGACAGATAAGAGTGTCAATCCAGAAAATGTGAATTTGAGCAGCTTATGAACATTAAAATATTACTGACACTCGCTGCACTCATTTCCTCCTCTTCCTCCTCTGCACCCTCTTCATTCTTCTCTCCAGATTCACCTTCCTTTGTAACCGTGGTGCTTCCAGGAATATAAAACCTCATTTCAACAAGTTCATGTACGGGAGCCTTTCGGCTTTTGGATTTTGCATCTTCGCCCAACTGTTCCGGCTGTGAGAACTCAAGACTTACTTCGACCTTATTCTGAAGATTGGTGTTCGCAACCTGCGATAGAGGAATCTCAAATGCGGTTTTGTTACCAATGTTAAAAAGTAATTGAGACCCTATAAAACACGGAAAATTCAAAAAAATTATTGAAAGTACAATGTATTGTGCCAAGAAAACAGGAATTGAAAATAATTCAGTACCCTGAAAATCTGTTTTTCCCCAATTCCACCCTTTAACACTCAGTTCTTTTGTCTCCAAAGTCAACTTGTAATTTGTACGAATTATTTCTCTCAGCGTTTCAAAATTCTGCGAATAGTTTTGAGATCCATTTTTACATTCAAAGAAACCCGAAAAAAAAAAGGTAAACAAAAAATAAAAGAAGCATACATCTTTAGCAAAACCATCAAATCTGGCTGCGCTTCCATTTTTTAGTGCTACTTTTAACTGATAGTCTCGAGCAACACGCATCCACTGTATTCTCTTAAACTCTTCGGCGGAAATCGTTACTATATTTTCTGAATCCGCAGTCTTCCATCCAAGACCACTTGGTGCGAGCTTGAGGATTCCGGGATAGTTAGAAAGTCCATAGTAAATGTTTTCGAATTGTTTCGACTTTGGCTCTCCCATGTCGTATATAAATTTGATGAGTTAGAAAGCTATCAAAGACGCGTGTAAAACCGTTACGTATTTCACGTGATTTATTCGGTCAGATAAAAGGAACAAAAGGATCAGCGACAATTGATAATTCGAATTTTTAATTTCCAAGTTTTATTGTGTCAAAATGAATGGACCAAGAGGCTCAAACGTAGTATTTGGTAAGGAATGTCGGATTCTTATGCCTTCTTTAAGCCGAAATCTATAGAAATCGCGACGTAACTAAATTTACATTTTTCAAGTTGGAAATATACCTTATGAACTTACCGAAGAGCAACTAACAGAGGTGTTTAAAGAAGTTGGACCTGTAGTTTCCTTTCGGTAAAGTGACATGCAAATCTTTTGAAAATTCTTCCTTTCTCTCCAAAAATAGCTGATCTAACATTTTGATACTTTTGTGATAAAGCCTTGTGTTTGATAGGGATAATGGAAGGCCGCGAGGATACGGTTTTTGCGAATATCATGGTATGTGGAATTTATAAACTGTGGTGCATTTCGTAATATTTTTTCTTAGAAATTACTTGACATATTCCCACCTTCAACTCTACAGACGCCGAGACGGCAGCAAGCGCCGTACGAAATTTAAATAATGTGGAAGTCGGAGGTCGACAATTGAGGGTTGATTATGCCGACGGTGATCCGGCGATTAATCCTACAATAATCCCTCAACCAGATAGACCAAACGTCGAAAGACCCTTACCACCACCTGCTCAACCTCAACAAACCGTAACACCACAGCCTACTTCACAACAACAGCAATCCGCGATAGAAAGCATATCACAAACGGTTCAACATTCGATGACTCAGGCTCAACTTCTTGAGATTTTGTCTACCATGAAAGTAATTATATTCCGCATTTATTTATCATTAAGATTGTTATTATATGCATTACCACGATTAATTACATAAATTTTCCATTTTTTTTTTTTTCAAGTTGTACATTCAAACACACCAAGATCAAGCTCGTTTATTGTTAGCACAAAATCCTCAACTGTCCTATGCATTATTTCAAGCAATGGTACAACATAACTTTGTTGATCCTTCAATATTACAGGTAGTGTAGTTATTTTACCGGTTTATTATTAATTGATGGAAATGAATATATATTTACAAGATTCAAATATTCTGGGATCTAGCGAGTTTTACTTCATAATAATTCTCAAGCGCAAGTTCAACCCGCCCCTGTACAAAATCAACCATCGCTAGTCCCTGGCACAAATTATGTTGCACCTAATGTGCCTAATCCAACCACCGTACCTCCACAGATTCAACCGAATATTTATCCATCGATTCCACAACAACCTCAACCAATTATTCAGCAACCTATTCAGCAACCCATACAACAGCCCATACAACAACCTATGCAACAACCCATGCAACAACCTATACAGCAGACCATGGGCATTCCGGTAATGAATGCCGGAATGATGTCGGTAATAGGAAACGTTGGCGTCAATCCTAATACATCAGTGGTTTCAGGGATGAATTCGGGAAATGTTGGCATGAGTAAGAAAGATGGTCACTTGATCAAACTATTAATGGTATATCATATATTCATCTTTATTTTTATTTTTTAGACGATTTACAAATGCAAGAAGCACAAAAATCGGTTTGTATCAAGAATCAAATAATTGATTGATTCAAATTACCCAATTTTTTACTGAATTATCTTATCCTTTGTCACAGCAACTTTTACTCCAAGTCCTTAATCTTCCTCAACAAACGATCGACATGCTGCCGCCAGAACAACGTAATAATGTGTTGGCTTTAGTAAGTCGGATTTCAACGTTTTTACACTCACATATGAGTTCATCATTGTTAATCAAGTGACTAATTGGTATCATGATGTAATAGAAACAACAGCTTTTACTTCAAACCCGGCAGACGTAAGTGGAACTATATAGGAAATTGCGAATTATAGAATGTCTTATTAGAAATAGATGTTATTTATCCCAATTTTTTTTTGTAACTTTGAAATTTCTGTAAAATAATTTATTTATTTATTTAATAAGGTTTTCTAATTTTTGGTTGTTCACCTAAGAGAAAATGGACTGATGTCGGTGAAAGTTATGTTGCATCAATCATTAATTTCGTTGTATCTGTTCGTACTGAAACCAGTATTTTACCCAAGAGAGATTTTCAAGACTCGTGTAAATAAATTGCCTGTCGGTGTTATTAATTCGTATTATTGTTAATCTTCAAGTCTGATGAAAAGTTATAATCGCTTATCATTTTAAACGAATGTCTCGACCTCTTATGACCCCCAAATAGCCTTAATTTATTCTTTAACAAGATTTCGAGTCTTTGCGGGCTGTCCTATTCAATCATCGATGCGAATACCTTTTTTTTTTTTCATTTTTTAAAATCAAGCTAATTTATATAAAATGAATGAACGAATGACTAACCAGATAATGGACAAATCATCGCTTTATTATCTTTATAGTCATTGTATATTGTCTTTTTCGTTACGTCGAGTAATCGTGGTAATACTATATTTTATATATTCTAGATATAAGTTGTTAACATAATCTTTGTTGAAGTGATGTTCTAGAACATTCCAAAATAATTTAGTTTGATGTACATTAATTGTAGAACTCAAGAATATATTGTATGCAGGTTAATAAGATTCATATAAGAACATTATTATAATCAATAAGTACAATTGTAACAGAGAGAAAAAATTGTATTAAATTTGAAACGACACACATCGAGTATCTGAAAAAAAAACAAAAAAACGCAAATTCAGCGTTGCAAAGCATCATCAATTTTTACAATATATCGTCCCATGTTTCATGCAATGGACCGTCATCGGAATCCTCCTCATAATCATCGGTGTCGAGTTCCTCGTTGACGAGCTCGTCTTCCTTGCTGCGTTTTTCCATGCATTCTTTATTCGTAGAAAGAAAACAATGTCTAATTCGAGTCGGACTTTAATAATTGGTTAATTAATTAAGGACGACAACATACCCAAACATCTGGCCTTCTCGGCGTTTCTTCTTTGTGCCTGTAAAAGTCGACCACTTGTAAAATTTTTAATTTCATATTTTGGCGCGCCTTTAAACGAAATTACCTTTGAGAACTTTTCTAAAGGTTTGGTTTTGGTGCAGATCATACAGGTCAAGTTTGATGTTTGGTTGGGTGAGCATTGCTTGCAAAGCGTATGGTGTCGTTTTGTCGTACGACCCTTGGGAGCATACGCTTAAAAGCGAAAAAGAAGTTACTGAGTTCAGTTCAGAGCAATAATTCGGTCACGACAAAGGTAATAGGTAAAAAATAATAGAAAAAATTTCTTTATCGAATTTTTAAATATAATTTATTCCATGAAGCTACTAACGATTATAAATGTTTGATAGGGCTTTTGTTTGTTGAGTTTTTGAAAATGTATAAAAAGGTTTGTCTTTGCCGCAGCCATAACAGAATAATGTTTCTGGCTCAACGGAACTTTGCGCGTTATTTCCTCGCTGTCCTCGATTCATCTCCGGAAAAATCAATGTCAGTAATAACAATGACCACAATGTGATTTATATACTATCTATACAGGTGCTTACGTAAATTTATATAAGTAGCTTAAACTTTATCCGGGAAAAGATTTACACGTATATTGAATCAATGGAGTCAGCAGCAAAAAGGTTCAGCGTTAGTTACAGTAGTAGTTAGTTTAAGAAAAGCTTAACGACGAAAATGTCTTCAGTCCTCGAAAAGACCCAAAAACTTGTTGGCAACCTTCAACAACTTTCTCGCATTCGTGATGTTGAAACTACACGCAAGAAGTTACTAAAAATAGTCGAGGAGGGTTTCGCGAACTTGCATATCATTTGTGGTATAGCACCAATCTTAAACATCATGTAATGCTCAGGCCTTGATAAAAAATTCGGTGAATTCATTAATTTTTCTTTAATAGATTATGACGGGACCATAACACGTTTCTTTAATTCAAAAGGCGAACGTAACCCGGCTTCACACAGCATATTGTCAAGAAGCTCCCGTCTTACGCGCGAAGTTTGTACTTCAAGAAGAACGCATATGGTTGATTTTGTGCTTTTGTTTCCGAAAAAAGTATAAAATAACATATGTCTGCTTTTGTTTCCGAAAAAGTATAAAATAGAGGTTCAAAAACGAGTCGATTATTATTACCCAATCGAGGTGAGTACGACAATGACCAAAGAAGAAAAAACTCCTTATATGGTCGAATGGTGGGAACAAGCACACGAGCTATTGATGGGACAAAAGATCAATAGAGAAGACATAAAAAGTATGGTGGCAGAAACTGATGTAGAATTGAGACCAGGATTGGATGTATTGATCAACGAATGCAAGAGCAAAAACGTTCCATTCTTGGTATTTTCGGCGGGACTTGGCGGTAAGTTTATTTGCTCAGTGATCTACAGTGGTTTTCTCCACCCACAAGCTCATATTAATTCATTTAAAAGATGTGATCGAACAAGTCCTCGTTTCAAAAAACCTTTTCCATCCAAACATGCACATCGTTTCCAATAAAATGGGGTTCAACGAAAAGACTGGAATATGTGATCACTTTAAAGAACCAATGATTCACGTATTTAACAAAAGCGAGGTTATGATCAAAGGCACTCCCTATCATGCCACTATCGAGAATCGTACCAATGTAATTCTGCTGGGTGACTCCACTGGTGACTTACAAATGTCCGCTGGAATCCATCATGATATTTGTCTGTCAATAGGTTTCTTAAATGACGCAATTGATGAAAATTTAGATGTATATTTGAGAACGTTTGACATTGTGGTATTAGGAGATGGTCCAATGGATGTCGTTAATTTAATCTTAAAATCCGTTAACGAACATGCGTGATCGAACAACTTACTCTAGCTGCAATCCTATACTAAATAAATTAATAATCGGTCAAATCTTGACCATCACCAATATTTCATAATTATCAAAATTAAAATCTAATAAAACTTCAAATGATTCTTTACTTCATATGCTATTTTCTTACATCACAACAAGTAAATGAAGAGAAAATACCGTATATACTTATTGCCAAAAACCGCGCTCATATTCCGTAAATATTAGAAAAAATTAACGGCATTTTGTCAATTACGAAATAAACGGCATTTTTCCCACCACGCCTAATAGAATTCAGCGATTGAGAACGATACCATCGAACTAGATTTTTTTTATAAAAAAAAATTTTTTTAAGTTTACAATACATCCGAGAACAATAAAGTGATTTAAATTCATACCCTCTGCTTGAACCATTTAATAGTCTCTTCTTTGGTCACTCGATGCGAAAATCCAACTTTTGCGATAGCCCTTCTTCTCCTCGAAACCCTGTTACCGGGTCTACCCAACACGACATAAAAGTCCATCCCATAGATACCGATGGATGGATCATATTTGATTCCTAAATCGATATGTTCCTGAATACCAAACCCAAAGTTACCCGTTTCCGAGAAGTTACTTCTCTTTAATTCATATTCCTTGACTTTGAGGCCACGTTCCAAGATTTCCTCAGCCTTCGGGCCACGCACCGTCACATGGACAGCAATCTTTTCATTACGTCGAATACCAAAGGAACGTACTGTATATCGTGCCTTAGAGTAGACCGGCGTCTGACCCGTTAACTGCTCAAGCACTTTTGCTGCTCGAGTCAAACGATCACCCGATTCACCCACACAAATATTGAGAACTAATTTTTCAATATGAAGTTCTCTCATGGGATTTGTTGCTGGGGCCTTATCTTTGGAGTTCTTACTTTCTTTGGCAGACTACAGAGGAAGCGCGGCAATCAGAACCAATGATATCACTTCATTCAAAAATTTATTTGCATTCATACCATGATGGCTAGATGAAAAAGAACTCAAAGTTAGTAGATTCCTTCGAGTATGATGTGAAAGAGGAGGAAATCGATGTGTGCGAGGTCCGAACTATTTATGCAAAGATCCCAAATTTCGAGCCACGTGATATCTTTTTTTTTTTTTACATATACGTAATAAGAAAAAAAATATTATCATATATAAAATAAGTGATACAAAGTAATATAAACAAGAAAACATTACAATTGAAATATAATAATTCATATTTGAAACTTGCAATATTGGTTTTTTAAGATACTTAAATCATATAATGTATAATACTATAGAATTTAGATTAAATTAAAAATAATTTTAAATAACTAATAAAATATCAATAAAATCTTTATTGTAAATTTAATTTTATTATGCACCAGTGATAATTGTCTGATTAGAAGTTATTCCTAATAATGATGTTTACATTTATCTGAGACATTACTACCTAAAATAATGCTATAACATATCAGTAGTCAATAACATCCAACACTTATTGGAATTATTTCAAATAATAACATTTACTATAGCTTGTTTCTAACTATATTAGATATAAAGACTAATTTACTGAACAAAGTAATTTCTTTGTTTAACCAGTAGCATATATTTTCACTAGTAGTTAAGCTTTATTTTTAACTGGAGAAGAATTAAAAGAAAATTGAAAAAAGATATTAAAGGTAATATTTATAGCAAATAAAGCTATATAATTCCTATTTATTTTATCAAAAATAAATAAATATCTTTACTATCACCTGCAGTTAGGCTAACTATTTAATTTCTTACCTGTTCAATTGATACCCAAGAACATTTAAGATACTTATAACTGGTGCTTATCACCTGAATATCAACATACATAACTTTATAGGAAACAGGACTTATAATCAAATATTTTCTTAGAATAAGTATTATCAGATTGATTTATTACTGGATTGAAATAAAACTAGAGCAAAAATCTGTATGAAAAATATTAGATATTAGAAGAGTGTTTATCAAATCTATTTATCGAAAATGAACACTTTATACATCTTGTAACTTCTGATAATTATAATAATATCAATTAGATAATTGTTGTATTATAATATCTTTTCTAGAAATCACAATCTTAATACTTATTGAATTAGCATATAAAATGACTTCTCATGAAAAATAGTACTTTTACAAATTATAACACTAGATATTATATTAATTCTATTTAACTACTTTCATATAAGATTAAATTAATATCTTATAATTTGACCTATGGAATATTAATCACTACATTATAAATCCACAGATCTATTTTATTTAATTTATTTAAATTATAAAAAATAAATTTATAAATAGTTTAATATTATATTAATTAATTATATTAATTAATAATTAATATTTTTTTTTTAATATATTTTTTTTTTTATAAATAAACAATATTTTTTTATTTGATTTGTATATGTCAAGGTATATATTGTAAAAAAAACAATATCTCTTATATGTAAGTACAATAAGTTAAATATTAACTTGCCTACAATAACCATTTGACTAATATTGAAAAGAAAATTTAAAACAATATACAGGGTGATTTATAATTTTTTGAAATTGGTTTTTTAATATAACTCTATTAATAATTATTTAAATATTATAGTTTAAAATTACTTAAGAACATTTTTAAAATTTTTTATTGTTTTTATACCTAAAATTTATGTTTAATGTAAGTTAACAAATATT